ATATGTAGTTCGATATAAAAAGGAAACACGACAGCGAAGAACTTACCTGGATATTACATTCATTGGGCAAAGCAAAGACGAGTGGGCGAGTCTTAAAGTTATTTGTAAGGTATTGGTGTCGAAAGTTCTCTGCATATAAAAGCAGTAAACGTTCTTTTGGCGACAAAATGTAATAGGACATCGGGTAACATAGTTCTGCACTGCAGCAGTCCAAAACTGATTTTGAAAATGAAATATCAATTCGACCTATATCCATATTTGTTTCAGAATTTATAATAAACATCTCTTGTTCCGAGCCCTCATCTGCTTCTTCGGATTGTTCCTCCGCAATGACAGCATTCTCAATTTCGTTGTGCCTTTCTTTGATATCTTTAATTTGCTCATCGTGTTTGTGTGGATCAATTTTAATTTTTGCTTTTGAAACGTAATCTTTTCTTCTTTGCATAGGAATTTGTTATTTCTGAAATTTTAAAGACAATTGTCAAACAAACCGTTACTATGCAACACTCGTATTGTGGAGGGAATTTTACTTTTCACCGAATATGCTCGCAGTGTATATTAATAAGGGTAACCGTATCAAACTAGATAATGGTTATATTATCAGTCTGTTTTCTGAACGAACGAAATCGAGTGACTTACGAACAAACATTTTGGTTTTGAAAATATGCCATTTATTTTTGTTTTGAATCAAATGGAACCAAAAAACATTTTTTTTTTACATAAATAAAGCAAGGTAAATACATAAGGTAGCCGCATCGTCGGATTGGGGACAGACGTAAGCTCCTGGGAGAGATATTTTTTTATTTATTTATTTTCAGCAAAAACCAAGACATCGATTGTAACGGTACATAACCGAAAAATCTCAAAGAAAGAGAGTAATTTTAAATGTCGAATATATTCGACAAAAACACTGAAAGGGTTAATACACTCATTCTAATCTCACCTCTTCCAAATTTCTTGTAAATCGAACAAACATAAGCTCATCAGTACATCATTTATATAAAATCGGACGAAAATATGTATATTTTGGAGCTTTGTCTACGTCTGAACCGATTCCAACAAAACTTCGCATACGTCTATATGGACTTAACTCAGTACACTGTGCAAAATGCTGTCTCAATAGTGCACCATTTAAATAAAATCGGACGAAACTATATATGGAAGCTATATCTAAATCTGAACTGATTTCAACAAAATTTCACATACATTAAACTGGACCTCTAATTTAGTACGCTCTGTAAAATGTTTTCTCAATCGGAGAACATTACCTTCAATCAAGGTGTATTTAATAAGGTATATGCATCAGATACAACTACAAGTATTTTACAAAAACAACATTGTTGTTATAGAAATTAAATTGTCATGCTGACATTAAGTTTTTGACAAAAATAAACAAAAACAATTATTAATTTATTTTTGTCAAGAACTATTCTTTGAGGAATAAGTAATGAATTTGTGTATTCTTGGGTTATTAGCGGTTTTAGGTTAGTGAAAAAATAAAGTTTAAGACCTGGGGGGTTACTCTGTATTGCGTTGCGAAAGCAAGTGCGATGCGAAAGCTAAATGCGTTAAAAGTACAATTTGGTACTCTGTAACGCTCGCGCACACGCATTCGCAAACTAAATCGAAAATAGGGCAACACTGTCGCCACAAAGTAAACAACAACGAAGAATGACAAAAGGAAACGTCAAAAAAATTTAAATAAAAACATATTTTTTGTGTGGTACGAGTATTTTTTTGAAACAAAAATGATGAACGAATTAAAAATTATGAGATCGATCAAATAATCTCCCTAAGTGACCACGGGTATTAAAATTGAAGTACGAATTATGTGACAAACGTTTTCAAATATTTAATTTTTATAGATTTATACAACATGTTCGTCTCAATAAAGATTCGTTTATGTATTTATTAAACGCTCGTCTTTCCAAATAGATCCACAACAATTTCAACTCCAATAAAAGAGGCCGCTGCTTTGAAATTGCTTGGACAAGGTGGTTATCAACACCAACCTGTAAATATGCACACATAGTTTCACATATTATATAAAAATATAATACATTACTTTTTCCAACAATCGACATCTTTTACAGGAGGTCAATTTGAACTGAGGCCATCAGACAGTTTTGTCCACAAATTGTTGGCGCGTTGTTTCGAATTTGAACTCTGCAACTGTCCCTTTGCCAAATCACTGTGTTGCCCCATAAAATCTACTGAAGTTAGGAACTGACGTTGCTGAGTCTGCCACTGTGACTTTTTTGCCTTTTACTTAAAATAATTTACAATTTATATATAAATAAAACCTTTAATTGAGCTTACTTATATGTTTCGCTTCCTTTGCGTTTGCTATTTTGTTAACGCAAGATATTTGCGCTTAACGAACGAGTTTGACATGCGTTTTCGTATTACAGAGTGCGGTGATGCCACATTTGCGTAAAGTAGATGCGAAAGGAGATACGAAAACGAATTAGAGAGTACCAATTACGCGATGCGTTACAATTTTTCTCACGCATCGCAATACAGAGTAACCCCCCTGGTCGCGATTAATTTTAAGTTTCCCACATGCAGCCCATGGCTCCTTGTGATGTTGTTTTTATTGTGAATTACAATCTATTTTTTCTATGGAGTGCCTTCAAATCGTCCCCGGTCAAAGACTAAATCATGCAAATTGTGTTGACCGTATAGGCGTATTTAACCTCCGCCGAGGATTGTGATAAGCACCAAGGGGCCGATTCCAATATAGGCTAACATAATCTTCTCGATTTTATGAGTAGCTGGGATTTATGGACAGATTTCCACACATAACATAAAATATGTGGACCAATCGGCAAACGGGGTTATAACTGATTTAATCCTAGGTTTCCTTTCCGCCCGCCTCTATGAATGTAGTTTTCTTTAATTTTTATTATTAAAAAAAACCTAAATTTAAAGACCATTTTTTAAATCGAAATTTTATTGAAAATGTTTTTGACAATTTACTTTACAAACAAACAAGAAAATAGTTTGAAACCATATGATTGTCACTTACACTTTATTAAATACACCTTGCAAAAAGCTAAGTATTATAGACATGGTAAACCTTGTCAATGTCGATGGATATGAAAACAAAAATTGCTAAGTATGGTCATTCCAATAATTTATCAATTTGGATTTGAAACTATGCAGAGAAACAGCAAAACATTTAACATTAGGAGGTAAGGAGTTCCACAATCTTGCAACTCGTACAGTGAAATACTTTTCATAGATCCAACGCGAATTTGAGGATTCCTTGAGGTATTTAAAAATTGAAAATAGAGAAGCAGATATGACAGCTCTCTACCTTTAAGTAGATTGAAAATAATCAAAGATATCTCAATTGAAGGCAAGGTGTATTTAATAAGGTGTAAGTGTCCATAAATTTATGATACTCATCACAAGAGCCATAGGCTGCATGTGGGAAACTTAAAATTAATCGCGACCTGGTCTTAAACTTTATTTTTTACTGACCTAAAACCTCCAATATCCCAGGAATACACAAATTCATTAATTATTCCTCAAAGAATAGCTCTTGACAAAAATAAATTAATAATTGTTTTTGTTTATTTTTGTCAAAAACTTATTGTCAGCATGACAATTTAATTTCTATAACAACAATGTTGTTTTTGTAAAATATTTGTTGTTGTATCTGATGCATACACCTTATTAAATACACCTTGCATTATATGATTTATTACGGAAACATATGTTTAAAACCAACTATTAAAAATCCTATTAAGTTTCGAGTTACTAAAAAACTCCATATTGTGACGCAAGAATTTTACGAAAAATCTATTTTCTTGTTGGATTTAACTAAAAGTTGTTCGATAAATATTATCAATATTTTCACTTGAGAGAGCAAACTCTACTTTTGGATGTTAAATTAATCAATGAACTTAAAAAAGTTTGGAGAAAACACCAGTTCTGAATTCGATCCCATTAATATGCCTGGAGCAGTAAAATACTGTGGACGTTTTTATTTTTAAACACAAAATATACATATGTATATTACATATACATATGTGATTAACTATATACGATTTTGCAAACTATCCTACTTTGAAAAATGATTTAAACAAAAATTCAAAATGGTGGTAAAATTGACCAATGATTTGGAAATAGTAAATTTAGTATTTATTCTGAGAAAATCACGAATGATAATTATGCAATTCAAAATACAAAAGGAAATGTCCGGCTAAAATAAATCCATATAACTTCATATGGAACAGCAGAAGAATAGTCATTGCAACCTTTTCAACGATTTTTTGTAACTGGGCATCATTATTAGGAAATAATAACTAAACGAATAGTAAATATATTTATATATTTTTTTGTTTTATTATAAATCATGATTACTAAATTCATTTCTTATAATTCGTATTATTATAAAGTTATATTTGCTTATTTTTGTTTTTGAATTATTATATTTTATAATAATAATTTGTATAATGATGTATGTAATTATAATCAAAGATAAAAAATTCTTGGTTATATGCAATTACATTTTTTAAATGATAATTTTATTTTGCTGCTTTTTGCAAGAATGTTCTACAAAATGTGATTGGTTTGGTCGTCAAATGTCTGTTTTTGCCATTTGGCTGTCCGCCTGTCAATCGAATTCTATGACAAGTTATTGGGGATCCAACGGATGTGGTTGGTATTTTTAAATCTTAACTTCTGATTTAAGAAATACATATTACAATAAGTGTGGGTGTTAGACATGTTTTAAGTTGAAATCTATTTGTGTAATTTATAATTTATGTATTTTAATAAACTATTTGTTTTCTTTTTCATACGATGTGTATTTAAATATATAAAGAATGTACGTACTATTCTATTAAATAATAATCATTACTATAATTATATTGATTTTTGCATCTGGTATACTGGGTTTTTATCCTTTCAGCTTTCATAATTCTTTGTTGAAACGTATCGAAAATGTTAAAGGCAAAATATAAAAGAAGACAATAATTAAAGGTAATACACGAATAATAAACATAATTTCATTGCAGTTCCTGCCTTATGTTTCGTCCTCTTCTGCGCCTTCTGGCCGAGAGGAAGTCCTCCTCGTCCTACAAGACATAATTGAAGACCGAGGAGTCCTGTTCGTTGTTGAGGTTGCCACCACCCCGATTAGATGAACCTGACGATTTATTCGAACCGTGATGGCCGATGGTCATTTGGTTTGTTTGGTGTATTACTGATGTTATGTCACTCTGAGAGGCAGAAATGTCTTTGCTGGTGAGAACATCCGAACTGCTAGATCCAGACGAGAGGCCATGGCGCTCAGTTAGCCCATATTGTATGGGCTGGTAGCCGTGGCTGGGGTTGTATGTGGCTGAGTATGGCATATAAATTGGAGGATTTGGCAGGGGGCCTATATCACTGGTAATACTTTCCGTGTCGGCATGGCTTAAATTCGAACGGCACTGCAGTGGATTTCTGTCATCGTTGACGACATAGTAGCATTGCTCGGAAAATGTCAGCTTGTTTACTGTATGTTTTATGTAATTATTCCTCAACATAGCCGATACTATGCGACGGGCTTCACGCCTATCTTGGACATCTTCAACATTCTCTAGCACCCAGTTAACAGCATCGGCCCCTATAAATGCATTTGGTATTGTGATTTTAAGCCACATACGATCACGAATTTCTAAGCCACTGTCCGGTTTAATCATTGCTTTGACAATTTCTTCCAAGTTGTTTTGGTCGAGTCGTTCTTTAATGGGCTCGGGTATGTCTGGATGAATAATACTATCCTGTGAAGTTAGTGCTTGTGTGTGGGCCACCCACGCACCTGGATCAATGGGTCGAACAGGTTCTGTGCGAGGTATGGTAAAGTATCCTTTAGGATTTGGATCCCAACACTTGGCCACAACTAGCTTTATGGGACCGGGCTTTTGAACAACTTCTCGCAGGACTCTGACAGCTTCGTCGTTAGTCATATTCTCAAAATTCACATCATTTACTTGTAGAATCATATCGCCTGGTTCTATGCGACCGTCTAACGCAACAGCGCCACCCTTCATAATACTGCCCACATAAATGCCACCATCACCACCACGATTTGACTGGCCCACTATCGATATACCAAGGAAATTGACTGCCTCCATATTTATATTGACTGTAATAATATTCAATGACATTGTTGAATCCGTTATTGACGAATAACTCGATGTTCGTGATATGCTAGGTGCCCGCTTTTTGCGACGCTGAGGCTTTTTGCGTACTTGCAACCGCTGTACACTACTGTAGTCTGTAAGATCTCGGTCAAACGTTACTTCGGACTCTGTCCCAAATAAACTGGTGGAGTCCAAATCGCTAGACAAAACCGATGCTGATTGATATGTTAGCGGTGGAGGCGGCTGCATCATGGGGTTCGAAATTATCCCGGGCGCTCCCATATTACCACCACCGATACCAATTGGAGCCCCACCACCCATTTTCTGCGGGGGTGGTGGAGGTTGGGCAGGCCTTGTTGTTTGCCTCAAATCACCGCATTCACTGTTGGGCATATCGGAACAATTGTCCGACTGATTTGTACCATCTGCGGACACCAACCATGACACAACACGACCATTGAAACACGGCAATATAGTCGAATCGTCTGCGATTTCCTCCTTCACGACACCAAAGTCGGCGTCCATCGATTTGAAGAAGTATTTGTAATTGTTATTCTGTTTATTTAGCACCATTTTGAAATCCCTTAGTGTCACCTGAGACGATGGTATTGGAATTTTTACCAAATACGGGGTGGTCTCGTCGTCAATATGATAAATCACTTTTGTCTCCTGACCTCCACCGCCACCACCACCACTGTTCTTATCGGCATCCATCTTTGATGACTTTTGTATTGTGTTTGTTTTATCTCGAACCTGCGACCTTTTTACAACCTTCGTTGGACTATTAAACAGATATTTGGAATTTTCAATTATATTTTCACAATTTTACAATACTTTTCAATATTTAAAACCATCCACAGAAATTTCAAGAATACTTCGTGATGTGTGTTTTGTTTTTGCTTTAGGGTTGGGTTTCAGTGGGGGCTCCTTCATTTATATCTACTCAACAACTCTTGTTCATTCAAGGCGTTGTTGCTCTGCGCTGATATAAAGACATATTTTTGCGATTATTTTCTTGAGTATCACCGCTATACACACAAGTTCCGGCTACCACATTTGGCTGGGGTTCTGAATTAAACAATTGTGCACAATAATATTACTTTTGTTAACTTATAAATGTTTACAACTAATTTTTCACTAATTAATAGCTGCAAAATTGCGCAGACAATGGAGGAGAGTATAAAGGCGATCTAAAATCCGCAGCGGGGGCGGCTAATATTCGGTATAACTGGACGACAGTAATTACTACGAAGCCAGTGTGTATGTATTAATACGCCGTCATTGTGTTCACATGCATCGGTTTGTAGTACAATATTTGCATTTGCATTTGTACACATCATACAATTATTCAAGGTAGACAATAGCAACCTAGAATTAATAAAATTTGTCACATTTCGTCTGTTCCAATACTGAAAGAATCTACTACTGTGTGTCTCTGTATGTAATGTTTTGTCAAATATGAAAAAGTAAAGTTGTTTGTAAAGTAAATTGGCAAAAATATTTGTCAACGTTTCATTTCGATTTAAAATATCGTCTTTTGATTTCGATTATTATTTTTTATTAATAAAAGTGCAATTATAAGGAATTAATAGGGACGGAATATTTGTTAATGCCAAGTGACGACTAGGAAGCGTGAGCTTAAATCAGTTCTAAATCCGGCCGCTGATTTGTTCCACATATTTGCCGCAAGTACAACTTGGGTTCCAGATTTCAAATATACATATGTATGTATATGGGAAATATTTGCTATATAGGTTAAGAAAAATATGCTGATTCAAAATCTGTTCGCTTTCACAAATTCGGATGCTGCTCACAAAAGTTATAGTTTTAAATCTTGTATTTCAAATATAAATTAAATGAATTTCTATTTGTTGTAATTCGCGACTTTCTTCACAAATGGATAAACACATTTGTTTTCTTTGCATACTTGTCAAATCACATTGAAAAACGGTATAATAGTCGCGAAAAACAAATAGAAGCATGAACATATCTGAAAATAAAATAAATTATTTTTTAAATAAAGACAAAACGTTTATTTGAATTTTCGATTTTTAGTATGGTTAAGGGAATACGGTTTTGCCTTAATCTTCTAAAATATACGACGCTTTCTTCTGCAAATTCTTTTAGATGATTGTTAAATATCGGTAGATTCATCGGATCAGAGTTTCGACGTTAAAAATAACCAAAAATATTACACTTACATAAAAATGGTCAATAATGAAAAGCAAGCAATTCGCGTATTCGTGAAAATCAGTTGTTGCGCATGCGGTTTTCGTATAAACCGAATCAATCTCTTCCAATAATTATGAATTTTTCGATGTTTCATTTAGCGGCCGAAGTGTGCCGCTCGATGCACTTTACTATGCAAAAACCCTAAAAATGACTAAAAATGGCGCAACGTGCATACGATTTTTATGCGCATCAGATTTCAGTAATCTCCTATGAAAATACACAAAAGGACACCTATTTTAAAAGGTTAAGAACCGCGGGTGTGCCTCCACAATCGATTTTGGATAAAATACGCATATTATTTGCGTATCGATATATTTTTGACCTATTTCCACACAGATTCGCGAATATGATATCACAAGAATGAATGTATGTGAAATCATTTCGAAGAAAAACGCGAATTTGTCAAAATAAGTTTTTGCAGTTTTTCCTATTTTCAAGGTACCTATAGCCGCCGTTTTATTGGGCGGAATTGAACATGGCTGGGCTCATTAGATCATTAAAAAAACTAAAATCACGCGGGGTTCCACGGAATATGAATGGAGCTTTTCTTAATTTTAGACTCAAAAAATAGGTTTTTTTATAAAAATTTACGCACCAAATTTTCGTCTTTGGAACCGAATTGCAAAGAAGCTACGGTGAGCACATTCATGAGATATACACTAAACGAAGCAAAATCACGAGTTCTACAATCCTATAATCAGATTTGTCCATTATCTGGATGCGCGTCCTGATTATAACAGAGATTCAAAAGATTTTGGGTGGATGCAGTAATTATATCGAAAAATCATACATTAGAACCATATTCTCCATGGGGTATCCTGCAACTTAGTCACTGATCACATGTGCGTGCGTTGTGTAGTTTAGCCACAAATTAGGAACGAACACAAAAAAAAACTCGTTGGCTTCAACTCATTTTCAACCACTTTTTTACATTACCACCATCACAGCTTCCAACTTATTATTTTTTACCAATATTTTAAAATTTTGACAAGAACACTTAATTTTATAGAAATGAATTTTAATTATATGCAATATGTTCATATTTCGCGAGTTATAAGCTTGCAAACCTCAGTTTCAAGGAATTTAAAAGATTTTTGTAATTTCCCATATGTGTGTTCTTATGATCGATTTAATACCAAAAGGAGATGGTTAAGGAAAAGGAAATCTGCTCCTAAATCCCCTGGTTCCTCAAAATCAAGGAAATGGTGTTATATAGCTTGTATTAGAATTTGTCCATTAGTTTTTTACAAACGCCTGGCTAACTGCAATTTTTTTACAATTTAAAATGAGATTCTGTTGCGTAGTCTATTGACAGATTGCATACGGGTTTGTGGTGTTTGACCGGGGATTTATGTCCTAAAATTTTTCTACCAAGAAGCCACTTATCCGATCATTGTATTGTAATTTAAAATATAAGCAAAATCCCCAAGGAACCAAGGCTTACATGTGGGACACTTTTCAAAATTATTCGACCTGAAGAAATGTATAATTGTTTTTATTTACTTTTGTCAAAACCTATTTGTCAGCATGACAATTTAATTTCTATAACAACCGGATATAAAGACCAACGGTTATAAGCAACTACACATATAACGAACAAAGCTTATTCTTTCTGAGATATTTTCATTAGTTTTCTTACACACAACAAACGGTTGAAAACAATTAGGTTAGAAATTTAAAAAAAGTTCGACCCCGCGATTAGATTTTTAAAGGAATCATTATTACAATGTTGTATGTTTTTGAAGAATGCATTAATAATGATTAATTCGGAACCCATTTATACACTTTAAAGTTATTAATATGTAAAAGTAAGATAAAACCATGCTTACTACAAGCGAACACGATTATAGTAAACACTGAATATACTGAACGACATTTTTTGTTCATATGTCACTTTTTTATTTTTAATAATCAATGCTGAAAAAAGTAAATTTTTGATGGGTTATATTCTAAGTGGAACTCAAACCCGCCATTTCCTCTTCTCCACTTTTTAATTTTTTTTCTCATAATCTTTCCTTCGACAACCCATTTGCGGTTTACGAGTCACGTTATTTATTTTGTAATCAAAGTTCGAGTTTATTCGTTTTTTCGCGAAAAAGTTCTATCTTCCTATGATATTTGGTCCATCTTGACAAATGAATGCAAAATAACCTAATTTCCTCTTTTAATTTGAAGCATTTTCGTCCAAATTGTTGTTATGCCAACTTTATTTTTGGGGACGTTGTGAACAACAATATGTTTCTTTGCTTTTATTTCTTTCATCAAAGAAAATATCGAAAATCGCAATTTGAGACCAATTGGAATCAATTTAGAAGGCTTTCATTAATATATTTTAGTTGTCAAAAGATCAAACAAATCAAAAAACATGTTTTCTCTTTAATGGTATCAAAAAAGATTTTATTTTCCAAAATTGAAAAAATGACTTTTTGCCCAAAAAACTGTCCAAATTACCTATAGTGCAGTGGTAAGAAGTATTGTATGATTTGTGGATGAATCATTATCTAAATCATATTCCCAACTCGATTTTGAAAATGAAATCTTTCGCGTTTTTAGTAAAATATTAAAAATATGTCAAATGAACAGAACGACTTGTTACATTTGTTTTTATTCCATTATTTGCTGAATTTCCCACATTGTCCCATGGTATAATTATTTCAAGGTAGGGCACAGCTACCAACTGATTACAATTTTTTTCTCAAGGTGGCTTGTTCAATCAAATCAAAGTACATATTTTGTGTATGTGTGCGTATTGTTTTGAATACAATGTCAAATAAATTGAAATATATTCAAGTTTAATTGAAATGAAAATAAAGTTTTCAAAACGTTCGTCTGGAAGTAATTACTTTGTTATGGATGAAGCAAACATTTTATGGTATTCCCTACTGGATTTTGGGAAGAAATCATAACCGTTCATTCATTTTTCGCGTTTTTAGTTTTGTGTTGAAAAAATGTCAAATAAACACAAACACTTGTTGCGTATATTTATTTTATTTTTGGCAGAAGAGGCCACACGTGCATAGTTGTTTTTTTTTTTTGTTATTCACCTCAAGCTACCTTGTATTATTGTACCATGGGTTGTCCCATAAGTTTTTTTTGGATGACACCAAGATGGGATATGCAAAACAGTATGAAAAGAGAATAAACTTATGGGACAACCCAATATAATTGTACCATGGAAACAATCATGGCATAATTACAGAAGGTAGTCCCACTTGCGAATTTTATGATGGCAACCCTTTTTAATTTGGAACTTATCTATCAAATTGAAATAATATGAAAAATAAATTCTTTAAATTGTATGTATGTCGATTGGCATATTTTCAATCAATATAAAAAAAATCTATTTTCTAAAGCTGAACATTACTCTCAAGATTTAACCATGTTTGTTACAACTAATATTTATAAATTTTAGTGGCAGGAGCTTCAAAATATTCAATTTTTGCCACTGAACACATGTTATTACATTTCAAAGGAAGATATTTTTATTCAAATTTTGAAAGCTGAATATTGTCAGAGGCAAATTTATGAAAAAAGTGGAAACATATGTCTGCATGAGACTATCTTGTGCCATGGGACACAATATTACTTTCGAACCACAGTTTACCTCGTGTTTGTTACGCACCGCTACTGCGGTGCTATGGTGTTACGTATCAGACAAGAATCATAACACGCAACATGTTTACAAACAACTTTTTGTGTAGACAATAGCAAAGATACAAACCATTTTTACCAAACGTTTAAATTTTTTTCAATTGTCTATAGACTGTCTTGCATTTTTTATTAACCTGTCGTTTACAAACGATTTTTTTGTGTAGGCAATAGCAAAGATTCAAATCAATTGTTTACCAATACATCTACATTTTTGCCGATTACCGCTAGCAAGACGACCAAGTTCGTAATCAAAAACTCGTCGATTCTCAGTTATGCATTGACTAGTTCCACTTTACACCCCTTAACAATGTATTTAACTGTTTACTTTAAAATGGGTATGTCATAGGAGGTAACCAATTGACACTCTTTCGCTTACCCGAGGATTAGTATTGTACTAATTACATGTTTACAGTCAAAGGCTAGTTACATTAAACTACCCGCCTTTCTAGTTCCGTAAAAACTAGTTCAGTACTGATTTTATGATTCAATTAGCAATTAAAAACACTCATTTATTAATATGATTTTAATTTTTATTTTTTAAATACGTACCACTTTTATAAATGCAATTACATTTCAGTCGTGTCAGATCCTTCGTTTACAGGTATTAAATATGGAAATATATAACAATGATTATAATTTTATAGTAGAAAAGAGGAAATATATGTTTAATATCTTACATAAAAAGCATTGTAAAAATTACTAAGAGAATTTAACAATTTGATGCCACCGTACTTCAAGACGTTCACAAAAAGACTTTTTTTCAATAAAAATTCGTCTTGCATTCATTGAGAATAACGGATCTTTTTATGCAGACTAACCACCAAAAATTGTTTCTTTAAGATCGCAAGAGACCGCTTCTCGTTTACTACAGGATAAAATAGTAGTCAATTGGTTCCGTTTATATTATCGCAAGAGACTACTCGATTACTATAGGATCAAAAGGTAGTCAATTAGTTCCTCTTGCATTACTTTACTTCTACATACCATCAATTGAAATTTCCATTGGTAGCGGGTTGTTTAGAGACAGTCTTGAATTTTTTTCTATGGTACAATCATGATGCAATAATAAGGTGATGCATTTATTTTTGTCTTGATTATCTGTCAAATTTTTCCTTATAATATTTCAAAAAGTTGGCTGCATTGCACATCGAATTCAAGTAGAAATTAGGTACTTTGACAGTTAATCAAGACATCAGCCGTTCTAAATGGACTACCTATTCATTGTACCATGGGTACAATTATACAAGATAACTGCAATACACAGCTGATTTGATTGTATTGTAATACTCATGGCACAATAAATAGGTAGTCAGTAGTAGCTGATGTCTCGATTAACTGTCAAAGTGGGTAATTTCTACTTGAATTCGATGTGTAATGTTGCCAACCATGTGAAATTTTATATTGAAAATTTTGACAGATGGTTGAGTGGGTTGAGTTGCTTACAAAAGTTGCATGTATAAACCCAGACTTATTGCTTTCAAAATATAGAAAGCTGTAAATTTTAGTTGCATATGATATGACCACCACTGTATTCATAAACATGAATGTAATCATTTCATTGTGCATAGGAAGAAGAAGCAAGAGTCTGCAAACTAGCCGGCTGTGGGTTACTGTCAAAGTACTTTTGCTTAACAAGCAAATTTAACAGTAAACGAAAATTTTGTGTAATTCTTATGGAGGTAGTGTTGCATATTGGAATAATATTAAGAGTCTTAAGGAATTATTTTCTTAATTTGCAGGATGAACTTATCCCTCGTTTGCCTGTTGATCAGGAAAGCATTGATTTTGAAGAATGGCACATCGAATATTTCAAATCACATATTTTAAAAAGTATTTGCTCCAAAGGACAGGATGCACATTGCAACAAAGATGATGGAGATGAGTGCTGCGAATTGTGCACATATCGAAATGCTCTAGAACTCCCACATCTCCCTGATATGGTATTTCATAAAAACAAACTTGTCTTGAAACACCGGGACGGGGCTGTCCTCGAGTTCCTTCCAATGGAATCGTTGCGTCTTGTAGAAAATGGAAAACAACCTTTACAAGTTGCATGTGCACAAGAGTGGAAAGAGAGCCGGTAGTAACATTTAGAGAAGTCAATTTCATAAATATAAAAGTATTATTTGTAGGCCTGAGAGTTTAATGGAGGAAAAATTTAAACCCTTTGATTGGACGTTTACAACCGATTACCAAGGAACGCCAAATGAAAAATTTAACGTGGAAAGAACGGAGCAGCAGCTCAATAAATTTAAGCTAATGCAAAGGGAAAAAATTCTTTTCTATCATGATTTGACACTCTTCGAAGACGAGCTGCATGACAATGGAATATCGTCTTGTTCCGTGAAAATTGTATGTTTTTCATTGTCAATAATACAAATATTAATAGAGTCCTTTTCAGCGAGTAATGCCTTCCGGATTTTTCATACTTTTGAGACATTTTTTGCGTGTTGATAACGTCCTCTTGAAAATACACGACACACGTTTTCACTTTGAAGTTGGGAACAATTATATCTTCAAAGAATTTACCATGCGTGGGGCTTCTTATGAGGAAATGAAAAACGTGAGTACAACAACAATGTATATATCTTTCCACATAAAAAATCCAAAAGAAATTAAAATGTTTCAAATTGAAAACAAACCGTTGCACTATAGGTCAAACCATGGCACAATTATTCAATGTAGTCTATAGCAACTCGTAAATTACAATTGTTTTTTTTTTATATTTTTGAAACAGTTATTCAATGTAGGCTATAGCAACTCATAAATTAAAATTTGTTCATATTATGGCTTGTTTTGCCAAAATCATATACGAAATGTGTGACAGTATATATGATGTTTTGAAAAATATAAACAATATGTTCAGCAAACCATTTGCTTAAACTCGATTTGGAAAAGAGAACCTGACATTCCATTAATTTTTCGTTTTTTTTTTTGTAAAATGTTAAAAATAAGACAAATGAACAAAGCAAATTGTTGCATTTGTTTTTATTTATTTTGACCTTATAGCCCATCATAATGTTGAGGTGTATTTTATCTTTTTTGATAAAAGAAACCCTATAATTGTACCATAAATCAAACTGGCATTTTCATCGCCAAAAACTAATGGAATTGAAGTAAAGCTCTGGTATATTGCACATTCATTTGTAGTACTCGATCTATGCGATGTACCGACAAGCATTGTTCGAGCCTTAATTATAAAGTAATTACTTAGTTCCCCATACAAAATTTTCTGAGCGAACACCAACTTTTGAACATTTTTGAATTTGAGTCACTCTCTGAATAGCCATGAATCTGATCCAATTCCTAACAATTGGGAGTATTTATCGAAAATATATTAATTTTGACAGGATGGAAATATTTATAAAATTTTCATAATTTTTCAGTAAAATTGAAAATAATGAATAAAAAGTCAAAAATTGTCAACTTTTTATGTATGCAGAAGGATGTAAATTTTGTTATGTCCCAATTTAGATTAGACGAGTTTATTTGCGGCAAGTCTTTGTTTGTAGGAGAGAGGGGCAACATGGTATAATAATAGAAGGTAACAGCAAGTGTTGTTGTACAAAAAACGATACAACAACCACATGGAAATTTGTTGTTGTAAGTTCTACTAGTGTCAACTCATTTGACAGAGAAATGTAAACAAAGAAACAAATTATCATCAAATTATTTTTATTTTGAAAATGAAATATTTTCGAATCCTCAAAATAAAAATTAAAAAACATGAATGAAAATCTATCAAATTTATATTTCTCTCTATTCCACATCTTTCCTATAATTGAGCCATTGCCATATATATGTGTAACACATATGAAAATGCTGGGAATAGCGAGTTATTCCTTGAATAAAGATTTGCTTCCTCAAACTTTCCCAGCAGGCAGATTGAGTAAATTGAATACAGGAGCACATTTAATAAAGAACAATTTTAAATTGTATGCGTTCCCAATTTTCCTGTTGGGTGATTTTTAAAAACATAATTTGTCAAATTCATATTGACACTAGTAGTACGTTGGAATCAAATCAGCTGGGATTTGCTGTTACCTTTTATAATTGTACCATGGAGGGGCAAGGGGAATAGAAATGAAAAAAAATGCCCGTACCAACAATTTTCTGGCAATTCGTTTTGTGTATTTCGTGTTTGTTGACATTTTATATATATTTAAATGTGAAAAAACAACAAATAAAAAAATATTTTGGAAACCGAATTGCCTTGTATAGACGCATGAAGCAAGTTCAAAAGAGAACGATAAAAATTGCCTCAAGTAAACTCGCCTAATATAAATCAATTTGGTTAGCGTACAAAACAAGAAACAAAATTTGGATTAATGTGTGACATTTGAATTTGAATTCACAATTTTTTATTTTTGAGATATTAAATGGGCTGGTAAATTAATACTAATGCTTGTTAAGGTTTGTAACTTTGCACATATATACTTAAAGATTTAAAAAGGAAGAAAAATAATTTACAAAAAATTTTGTTGTTTTTCTTTTTGTGATCAAAGAAAAGTCCTTATTTTTGATGGCGGGCATGATATCTCCTCACTGGAACATCGGAATCCGAAAGTTCCAACAGTGTTAGAAAGAGTACATGTCTGGCTCTCGTATGAACTAGGATTATTCATTTCGCATAACAATTAATAAAATTGCGGAACTTTGATTTTTTTTTTTTTTTTTGGAAAATCGCCTATTTTTGACCACAAACTAAGTTAAAACAACAATAGGTTTGTCCGATAATTTACTGTGTTCAAATACACTCAGCAACTTATGTTGAGAAAATTTGTTCCCTCAGGCGAAAATGTTGAAAAAAAAGTTATCGAACAACACCCAGTAAAATCCAATTAGAAATCAATTTTATGAGTCACAATTTGAAGTTTTTAACGTATCAGATACTAAATAACAAATTGTAATAAATGAGTGGTGTATATTTCATGCTATTAAACATTGCATATTGCGTAATATCTCAAAAAAAATCAACATGTTCAGATTATTGCATTAATAGAAAAAAATAATATATACTTGACAACAAACTACAAACGTGAAAATTCTTACTGAGTAAATTTTACCTGTAAGAATTTTTGAATACTCAGTAAACAACTGCCAACATTTCTCCCACAACTTACTCTCATTTACTGAACTTTTAAGTTATAAAACAACATTCAGTAACAATCGGTACAAGTTGTTACAAATTATTGGGATATCAAACAAACCTAATATTTTCAGAAAACATGAATTAAATGAAAATAGATATGGGCTCGTACTATAGTCAGGAGAAAGAAAATTAATTTTTTTATTTAGATCCATATGTGATTGACACAAATTTGTTAACATTATGTGGTAAAACAAAAAATAAACTCTGATGACATGAATTAAGAATAGTATTGTGTGAACTAACCCGATCATGTACGTAATTGTAAGAGCGAACAACGTTGTTCAAATGACGGTCAGAACATGACATTAGTTTCTAAATTTATAAAAAAAACACTATAATAAAAATCAATGTATAAATATATGACAAGTCAATAAATAGAACAGGTGCATTTTACCTATTGTGAACAATAGTAAACCATTTTGAACGTTTTAAAGCACTTCAACTCTATTATACAAACGGAAAAAATGTATACAACATTTTGTTGCTTCCATATATTCCCTTCATATTATGTCACTAGTTTCCCGAATTCAATATTATTGATTGGACTTCTGCCACTATGTAGGTACAAACAGACATAACAACTGCATGTGACCCTACTACTTGGATTGCAGTTATAAATTAACCAACTTTCATTTATTGCCGACCGTTAAGTTTAAAAATAAAGTTGAAATGTTTTATAATCGCCCATGTGACATGTTCCGAGAGTTTTTGAATTCCCATACTTTTTTAAATTCCCATGTTGTGCAAAATGGTGTGCTCAATTTCGAGCGAAAGTGCGGCTCGAGAGCATAGCTGTGTTCAATATGTTACGAAATGTGTAATTTGTTTAACAACAAAATTAAGAAAAAAATATGCCTGCTGGCTTATTAATTGCCCTGATTTCTACCAGAAAAAGCCTAATGATACTGGAACGTGTTAAAATAAGCATTTATGGATATTTTGAGAGAAGTTGGTCCTTTCATACACAAGGGTACCATTCCCGAAAGCCTGCAGTTAGCAGTTACCTTAAGATTTCTGGCTGTTGGTGGATTTCAGAGGGTAGTGACAAATGATTTAAAAATAAGTGTTGATCGCACAACAATGTGTAAAATATTGTGGAGAGTAATGAAAGTCATGGAAGACAAAGTGTGTGCTAGCTGTGGACAGCTGCAGACCAGGAGGAGCCCTTTTTTATTTTCTTTAATTTTACTATAAAAACTAATGTAAATACGGTATTTTTTAAATAAATATTATAAAACACGTTAAATATTACTTCAGCGTACTTTTTCAACTTGTACGTGCTCAGAAAAACACGTACGATCTCATTTCGTTTTCAATCCACAAGGCTATATGTGCTCGAATTATATTCCCAATATTTTTTTGGGAATTCGGAATGGAGCACACCAAATTTGGGAAAATGTTTCACATTCGAGCAAACTCGAGATGCAGCACATGGGCGAATATAAAGTTTTATAAAATAAAGTTGAAATGTTATACATACTGTGTTTTTGTGCAATTTAAATTGCACAAACCACATTTATAAGAATTATTGTTTTGTGGCATAATGATATTCACAACAATAATATATCCACAAAAATATTTAATACAAGCTTCACAAATGGCGGCAAAAACCAGCAGCTATGGCACATATGACAACCAGAAGGATAATATCAGCATACACGAATATGGTCTAATAACATTACGATTAACAGGGAAGAGTACCACAACGATAGTAATAAATAACATCTTAACTCCTTGTTACTTTTATTTACATTATTATTTCAATTATTCTATAAATTCCGACGAGCACAAAAACGTTCAGCTGTTCATGGCAGGGTTGCCAATCAATTCCTTTTTTTTTTTTTTTGTTTTTTTTTTTTTTATTTTTTTTTTTTTTTTTTTTTTTTTTTTTGAAAAGTTTTTGATTAACGATACCGGTTAGTACAGCCAAAATTTCCGCTGTTCTAAAAAATGTATGATACATGCAGCCAACATTGACATATAATCAATATTGTCCACACGCACCGTACAACCAAAACTTTTATACGAGAAACTAACCTTTATCGCGCCTCATCTTAGGAAATAACTAAAACTAACATCTAAAATGAAACTTAAAATACTAAATTGTTAGGTAAATGAATCGCAAGATCATGCATGCTAGTACATACACGCACCGTGAGATTCACACCCCCTAACGGGTTTTTTGTGTATTATGATATCATATAGATATCAAAATGTTCCCTGTTGCCTAACAGAGCACGAGTAACGAATACACTTGGTCACTCGAATTTTAATTAGTTTAATAGTCAGATCCAACGTGTCTGAAACGTTATTAAACTAATGTATTTGCACATATATGTAAACGGATCAACAACACGCCTGTGTTAGGATCATACAGATTACATATAGAGGAGCAATGTTACGTACTGCTGAAACGGTGCAATACGCCCATCTTACCTAAAAGTAAGGTCACATAACGTTTTAAAGCAAACGCATGTGCAATCCCACGGCCAGGAAACTATGCGTCTATATCGTGTCAAAGATATTGCTAATAGCATAGAAAGGCATTCCGTGAGTACCTACCCAAAAACCTATATAAGGAAAACAAATGGTATAGGTATTGCCATCTGATTAGA